TTGGATGAACCTCCCTCCACTGCCTCCCACGGTCCAGTCGCCCACAGAGCCGGCCACGGGGCCTCCACCACTGCAGGCAGAGCCCACTCGGCGCACTTCTAGCCACCTGCCTCCCGAGCTCGGGAAGCCGACTGGCCCCTGCAGCCACTGCGATGCCTCTGTGTCCACTTCAGAGGTGTGGAGCCACCTCCCACTGGCACAGGCACTGCTCTCGTGCAAGGGCCACTCACGGCCGCCCGCGCCAGGCTCGCCGCCTCGGCTCTGCTGGTGCTGCTGTTACGTCCCTGGAGCCTCTTTCGGCCCCTGGAGAAGCGGGCCTCGCTCCCACTGTGTCCTCAGAGAGGGGAGGCCGGTGTGGAGCTCGGAGCTTGTCTTTGCTTGCTCAGACCTCCAGACGAGGGACAGGCTTAGTGACAGGACATCGTAAGTACTCAAAATGACCTCCTCCAATTAAAGCTTCATTCTGGATTCTCTGAGGGTTTCCGGGGATGTGACCTGGTCCCTCATGCAAACAGATTCCTGAAAGCCCGGCTCATCTGCCCAAGACGCCTCTAGATCCCACAGGAGACAGTGAGGCCAAGCGGGGAGCTGCCTCCCTCAGCACCCTCCTCCTGCCCACCTGCAGGTGACCATGCGTCTTTCTTCTGCTTCCTGGAGGCTGGGGACCACGTCTGCTGCTCACTTTTTAAAATTCACAAGACCTTATGGCGTGCAATTGTGAGCCCTTGACTTTGCCCTACTTCCCTTTCAGTCCTGTTTTCAAATATATCATTCTTGTTGCTTTATCATATTGTGTTTGAAAGGCAGCCGAGTTGGATGGTGGTTAATATGCACACTCGAGCCAGGCTGGCTGTGTTCAGGTCGCCCTCCACTGCTTTCAACCTGTTTGACCTTAAATATGCAACTTGAGCCTCAGCGCCCTCGGGAGAAAGGGACATCTATAATGGCGCCTTCTTCACAGGGCGGCAAGGATGAAATGACCTAACAAATGAAAGCACTTACACCTACTGGCACGTGGAAGGCACTTAATAGGAGGGGAATTTTATTGTTGCAGTTATTATGGTGATTGAGAAGAATGCGAGGTTCTGTAGAGAGAAAGGTCAGTCTAACCTGGGGGGTGTCAGGAGAACGCTGCGAGGAGGTGGCAGAATGAATAGGTGCTTGTCGGGAGGACCACAGGAAGAAAGAGCATTCCAAGGACACAAAAGAGTCGGTTCAAAGGCCCTGAGGTAGGAAACATCTTGGTAAGTTCAGAGAGCTGCTAGCAGATCAGCACAACTAGAGTAAAGGTTCAAGATCAAAGAGAAGCCAGAGCCCGATCTGAAAGAACCACTGAAAAGCCTTAACGGAAAAACGAAAGCAGATTTGTCTCTCAGAAAGGTTTAGGTCATGTCCAACTGAACATAATTTTGCCTTCCCAGGGTTACCGTTGTGAGGATCAGTTATCACGAAAACCCCTGGAGCGTATTAACACCACAAAACACAGGGGTCATTGTAATTCACGGCTCTTTCCTGTGCTCACAAGTCTTCAAAAGTTTTCGTGTGTTTGTTTGAGTGTTAACAACAAATTGGCTTATTTTTCTAGGCTGGTTTAGTTGCTGCCAAAGGTCTTCTTTACCACAAACACCTTCCAGAGCAGTATTTGGATACTCATCTTCCCAACCGTAGGAGAGTCGTAGGTGGCCACCTCTTAGCATCTGCAAGAGCCGGACAGTAGTCATTCACCCTCCTGGGACACACACAGCGACGGCAGCTGCGGGGGCCAGGACTGGGGATGCGGGTCAGGATGTGGGAGGCAGGGCCGCTTAGGGGGTGGTGCTGAAACTGCAAGTGAAACCTGTCCCAGGGGAATAGCAGCATGAGGTGAAAGAGAGAGGGGAGGGAGGAAGGGAGGGAGGGAGGAAGGGAGGGAGGGAG